TGCTAATTAAGGGATAGAATAAATAAATTAACTGATGTATAACCTCTAAATCGAATTAGTTTATTTTAACACTACTCAAGTTGTTAAAAAAATTTTAGTGAGAATGTGAGTAGCCAATTCATACTATTTCCATCTAACTTCTCAGGCGAACTCTCTTGGAGGTTTCTTCAAGGTGTGATCACCCTACTTTGCAGCTTAACGTCCGCGTGCTTGATCCACCATTAAAATGGGCAACTATGCTGGGTCTTTGGGTTTGAAGGATAAGAATAGGTTTGGACTTTAATAGAATGTGTTGGGCCCCCTTCTTTTCGTTTTTTTTTTTTTAATCTTCTCTTTTTTTTTTATCCTTTTTCTCAAAAAAATCTCATTTATTTTTCTTCTTTTCTTTTCTTGTTTTTTCTTCTTTCCTTTTTTTTTTTTTATAAATATTTTCTCTCATTTATTTATTTATTAACTCTCATAATAACAACACAAACAATAATAATAATAGTAGTAATAATAATAATAATACTTTCAAATTTAAAAATAAAAATAAAAATTAAGCCAATTAAAATTAGGTATTATAATTTTTTACTTCAGTTTTAATTTTTCGTCAATCAAAATAAGATTATTATTTGTTCATTAATGGTATAATGTACTGGGGATATAAGTGTTATACCCACGATCTAATTATTCGTGTAATATATTGAATACATTATTATTTGATAATTTATTTTAATATATGATACTAGTATTTTATTATCATATTTATTATCTTATCATTTAATTTATGTAATAAAATTCTTAATTAAATTTATATGTTTTACATCAAGATGAATATCTCATTAACTAAATTACATATATAGATGATGCATATGAAGATATGATCATTGAACCGACTCAGTTGAGAATTTCTAATGATTAATATTATCTTAAACTGTCAATAGAATATTCTCTTATTTTGATGATATATAAGAATTTTCTTAAATCTAAGATCATCATGTAATTGAGAAGTCATTTATTATATTTTGATTTTGTACACCTATAGTCATAAAACTGTAGTCGAAAAAATATTACGTGTGATTAAATACTTGTAAAATTAATGATTGATCAAGAAGGAATATGTTAATTTTGATAATAAGTTTAAATTCTATATTGTTATTTATTATAATAACTAAATTAAGACTTTGGACAAAACAGTTGAATAAAGTAAGAAAAGAATTTTTTAGGCAATTTATTAGCCAATTATAATTAATATGAAATATAATTGGTTACCTATTGAGATTTAACAGTTAAACCATATCCTAGTGTTAACCTGGAGTAATATTACATAGTTGTAATATTTCTTTAACAGATTTTTGAGAGTAATTGTACATTTCATGTTATACGGTCATTGAGAAGTGTTGTTAGACGCCAACCTTAATTAATAAATTAGTTTGACCAATTTACTACCGATTTAGTATTGAACCTATGAGATCGTACACTAACAAATGTTTTGACTTCTACTAAATAAATTAATTATTTTAGTTATTTGAAAATTTAATTTAATTAAATAAATAAATTTATTTTTGTCTAAATAGAATATTATTATATTTTTATTAATGTCGAGAATATAATTAAATTTTTTTATTTTTAAAATAAAAAATTAATATTTATATATTTAGATTATTATATTATTAGTGAAATAATATAATATTAGTAACAATTATAATAATTGAGATTATTAAAAAATTTAATTTAAAATTAAATTGATTTATAAAATTATTTTATTAAATAATAATAATTAAAAAAGAAAAACATATATATATATATATATGAGATTAATATATATGTAAATATTTGTGTTTTAAAAATAAAAGAAAAATAAAAAAAATGGATGAGTACAAATAAATTTTTACGTCTACATGGAGAGTCTAAAAAGAACTCCTCCACTCATGAGACCGATATATATGAATAGGGTTTGAAAAGATAAGAGAGGTAAGTTCGAAAAAAATCAGCCTCATGGTTAATTTTTGTGTGAAAAATTTTTAACATATATATTATTTATTTTATCCGTGCGTTCTTTTAGTTAATTAAAAAATTGAATATTAAAAATTAATTTCGGTGTAGATATGCATAAAATATTTATAATTTTAATTAAAAAATTTACTGTCACATATATTTTATATTTATTTTTTTAATTTATAATATAATTTTTAAGCACAAATAAATTATATTATAATTTTTACGACGTATTATATACATATTATAATCTAACATAATGGTCATGATCCATCCACAACCGAGATCTAATTGGTCAAGAACCTTTTTATAATTTAGTTCAAATTAAAGGATTTAAATGGTACAAAACATTTTCACAGGTTTGAGAAGTTGTTCAAATGCATCAAATTTAAGTAATTATACATTACAGTTACTTGAAGATACATGCTTCTTGGCCACGATCTTCCCCTAGATTCGGAGCTCTCACTTAATTCCCATGAGGAGTTGCTCCCTCAACCTTCTCAATATAAGGCAATTAATTGGTGTCAGTTGTTATACTTCGTTATTTCTCGGCCATACATTGTTTTTATAATTCAAAAAGTTGGTTCAATTTGCCTCCTGTTATACTTAAGATTTTCTTGGATACAAATTGTGTTACTTTGCATATATTCTCATTGGTCTACTGTAGGATTTTTATTTTTCTTGTTCATTCCCTAATCAATCAGTGTACTCGAGCTTAAGATACTTTAGTGATAAACACACGTCTTACTTTTCCTCATTCTACTTTGTACTGCTCTTTTCCTTTCACTCATTTTTTTGCTTTGTATTTTTTATGCATGATTGAGATTTTTGTTGATCTCTAGGTTTATTTCTTCATATATTTCTCTTCTTCGTAAACTGTAATTGTAACGGCCGCGAAAATTTAAATGAAACATATGTATTAAAAATGTCAAATGCGGAAACGTAATAAAAAATTTTGATTAACATCCCTTACACAATAACCAAAACGTACTCAAAACATGAAGGAACAAACTAACTAAGAGAGATACTCGAAATAAAAACTATAAATATAATTATAAAGTCTTTAGGCCTCCCCTTCGCCGTCTTCCTGTGGAACGGGCTCAGGAACAACATCTTCCTAATCTGAAATGGTTAAATAAGGAATGATCTACACCAGCCTAGTAAAGACATCACACTATCTCACCGCCACGGGAGTAAATGTGGGTATAAAACAAAATGACCAATGGAGCATAATTTATAACAAATTCTTTTATCAATAATGAAATCCTTTACTATCCACTTACCTCAGCGAGATCCATGAAAACAACATATGAAAATAATAACCTTACAATATCATAAAATCATATACACTTTATAACACAACATATATAACACCTTTACATTTCAATCATCAGGAAACAGATTTCCTCTTTTACCAGCCTACTATATCCTTGGGGATCCATAGGGGGTCCCCTCTACACGTGAACTATTAACATTTATAACCTGATTCCAGGGCCGTCTCCATACCCTGTCCGGTATGGGTGCCAAAACCATGAACCTCAATACCCCGTCCAGTATGAGGGTGAAACGAGACGTCCCCATACCCCGTCCGGTATGGGCGCCAAAACACATAAGGTCTCCATACCCCGTCCGGTATGAGAGATCACGTTCCCGGTAGGGTTCCCTACGGACCCGGTCCGTCCACCATCTCCTAGGATATCTAGTCAGGCTGACCACATTATACCATTATCCATTTACATAATTGTTCATTCTCTTTTTCCTTAGTCAGCATCATTAATCCACATACAAGCAAGCAAAATGATAATTTATGCTAAGCAGACAACATACAGCATCAATATCCCGGTCATTTAATCCATAATCAATAAAACAGTAAAACATGCACACGAAACTATAAAATGAAAACATCGAACCTCATGCTACGTTTAAAACTGTAAAACAGGCCAAATAACAATTAACCGACAAACACACTAGACTCGGGCTCCATTAGCGACCCTAAGCAATTTCACACATTCGTTGATTCATGAAATATTGTTTTATCATTTATTGAACTTTAAAACCGTGATAGGAAATAAGGTGAGGGGTTCTTACTCGTTTCGGGGTCCGAACACAGCTTCACAGTGCGCTTGCAGGCTGTCCCTAATTTTCCCTGAATTTTCCTCGGAGAACTGAAACGCACTACTAGTACCTGCACATATTCCAAAAAAATCCCAAATTAGGCCTAGGGCCCCTTTCGGCCTTAATCGCAACTCCGGCACGGCGGCTCCGCCGTGCTCCGGCGACGGCGCCGCCACTGGCGGCGGCGATTCGCCTCGGGTTGGCTGTTTTCGGCCGTTTCCGGTCGAATTCGGCCACACTCGCATCGGTCCCTGCCAGAAAACAACCCTAGGGCCCTCGGGGGGCCAAAAAATCACGGAAAAACGGAGCTTACCGGCGGCGGCGCTCTCGGGTGCGGCGGCTC